ATGCGGCGCCTAATGTGCACGGACGCTATCCGCTGGAGCAGGGACATCTACGTCGAGCACGTGACGGGTCAGGCAATACGCCGAAGGCCGAGCCAACCCTGACGGTGCGCACGATGTGGATGTGCACTTCTCTGGCGGGGAGCGGTAACCCCGCCCCCCTTTGTGTTTTACCAAGACTTACTATGTCAGTGACATATTGGGTGTTTCAACATATGTCCATGAACCAATGACCGCATCAATGTATGTGTGACAATTATGAGAGTCTAAAAACTGTGTAGAGTGTTAAGAGGTGGAGATATGTATACCACCTAATTCATGTTTTATATTACCGATTACTGTATTATTATTTTTAAGCATTCTCTAAATAAAGTTAATCTGTTCTTATCAGCTTGATTTCTGATATATTCTGCATCGCAGAATAAGTAAATTGAACTACTTTTTGTAAAATGACTGGAGTTTAGAAGCTTGCTTCACTCCGGTCGCTGATCGACCTGGTATTGCAGTTTTGCCGGGTTCGGTCCACCGTTACATGTTTCATGGTTGGTGGTGTACTTTACTTTTAGACGAAGCAGACGAAGGAAGAATATTTATTGAGACTCCTGTAATGTATATGGCGGTTAAAGTGGACGTTTAAATGTTGACAGATCTTCTAAGCGATATAACTGAAGAGGTTAAGTTTCCACTCAGTGATTTCTTATGTGAACTGAAGAAAATCACGGAAGCCTAGGTTATGATATTGTACCTCCACGTCGGTCGAACTCGGGACAGCGCAAATACGCAGCTGGTTTGACAACCACTCGACTGTGACTTGCGTTAGTACGCCTCTGCATTCTGTTTGGTTTAATCTGTGGACCTAGACTTTAGAATAATCTTTGGTAAACTGTTCAGCGCCTTGGAGCTGTGCTTATGAACACGTGTTCGTGTTAAGTGGATTCATACAGTGGACGTCTGGTCATCAAACGACGTTTGGCGCCAGTCTGGAGGCGTCTGATGCGACGCATTTGTATAGGAGAGTTCTGATACCACTTATCAACACATCGATATATTTCCACGCTCGCAGGCCCTATCATGAGGAATGTGTGTAATTGCCCACAAGTCTTATAAGTGAAGATGATTTAGAAGTACGAGAGAAATAGCCTTATCTCTCTTTATGTAGCAGAGAAATATTCTGGCAAAGAAACAGGTGTTGATGTACGTACGTTCCTAACCGACCAACCCAAAGAAGAATTGTTGGCCCATCTGTGTTACTAAGAAAACCGAAGTAAGGTTCTTTGATTCATGGATTCATACCACACATCTTACCAAAGGCTCTGAATGCACGAAGGCGTGTGTGTTGATACCTTGGATGCTGCGGTCGTGGGTTTGAATCTTGCTCGAGGCATAAATGTTTTTCCTGTGACGTGTCTTAGCGAGAATCCGACCAATCGTTCAAGGAGTAGAGAACAGCATTCTGAAATTTTATAGCCCTGATGATGGAGGCAGCAAAGACCTCTTAAAAGTCGATAAACATCTACAAGACTGCACGGCCCAACAACCCAGAAGACAGAAAACTTCATATTCTGATGATGGAGGCAGGATGACCTCTGAAACGTTGGTTAACATCGACCAGACTACACAGCGCAATAACCCAAAAGACAGAAATCTTCATATTCATCGCCCTGATGATGGAGGCAGTACGACCTCCGAAACGTTGGTAAACATCGACCAGACTACACAGCGCAATAACCCAAAAGACAGAAATCTTCATATTCATCGCCCTGATGATGGAGGCAGTACGACCTCCGAAACGTTGGTAAACATCGACCAGACTACACAGCGCAATAACCCAAAAGACAGAAATCTTCATATTCATCGCCCTGATGATGGAGGCAGTACGACCTCCGAAACGTTGGTAAACATCGACCAGACTACACAGCGCAATAACCCAAAAGACAGAAATCTTCATATTCATCGCCCTGATGATGGAGGCAGTACGACCTCCGAAACGTTGGTAAACATCGACCAGACTACACAGCGCAATAACCCAAAAGACAGAAATCTTCATATTCATCGCCCTGATGATGGAGGCAGTACGACCTCCGAAACGTTGGTAAACATCGACCAGACTACACAGCGCAATAACCCAAAAGACAGAAATCTTCATATTCATCGCCCTGATGATGGAGGCAGTACGACCTCCGAAACGTTGGTAAACATCGACCAGACTACACAGCGCAATAACCCAAAAGACAGAAATCTTCATATTCATCGCCCTGATGATGGAGGCAGTACGACCTCCGAAACGTTGGTAAACATCGACCAGACTACACAGCGCAATAACCCAAAAGACAGAAATCTTCATATTCATCGCCCTGATGATGGAGGCAGTACGACCTCCGAAACGTTGGTAAACATCGACCAGACTACACAGCGCAATAACCCAAAAGACAGAAATCTTCATATTCATCGCCCTGATGATGGAGGCAGTACGACCTCCGAAACGTTGGTAAACATCGACCAGACTACACAGCGCAATAACCCAAAAGACAGAAATCTTCATATTCATCGCCCTGATGATGGAGGCAGTACGACCTCCGAAACGTTGGTAAACATCGACCAGACTACACAGCGCAATAACCCAAAAGACAGAAATCTTCATATTCATCGCCCTGATGATGGAGGCAGTACGACCTCCGAAACGTTGGTAAACATCGACCAGACTACACAGCGCAATAACCCAAAAGACAGAAATCTTCATATTCATCGCCCTGATGATGGAGGCAGTACGACCTCCGAAACGTTGGTAAACATCGACCAGACTACACAGCGCAATAACCCAAAAGACAGAAATCTTCATATTCATCGCCCTGATGATGGAGGCAGTACGACCTCCGAAACGTTGGTAAACATCGACCAGACTACACAGCGCAACAACCCAGAAGACAGAAATCTTCAGACGATGAGAGAAGAGTTGTATTGAAAAGTGTAAAAATGTATGTACGATACTTAGCGCACGTTTTGTATTCCGCTAATTATCGTACATATATTTTTGTTATGATGGAAAGGAAAATACTTTTGTACTGATAATCGCGTCCCGTGGAAAAATGAACGAATGAATGAACTTGCGAAGGAATTCGTGCGACACACTTTCTAGTTGGCCAGACCTCAGAATATTGTAGTCTTTTTTTTTTCGAGCAAGGATTTCGCGCGTGTTTACAATACAAAAACCCTCATCTATCTCACCGGTACGACACGTGAAAAAAACAACATTAACCTATAGTCAAAGTCACGTCGCGACAATTTCTGAAATACCTTCCTTTAATTGCATGAAACCGAATTCAATGCCTCTCGCTGTTCGTATATTCACTTTCCAAACATTCGGTCTCGTTCGATATTGAATTTTTCCCCGGAACACGTTAAATAGTTTTTTGAACCAAACGGACGTACGGACAGGCCGAGGAGACTTTCCCATTGCTGGTCGGGTTTTAGTGTCTCATAACGAAGAAGT